CCCTGCGTTACTTAAACAGGTGTAGGATGGCTACGCTTAGGTGTGTGGCGAGAGACAACTATCATGCTTGTGGGGATGGACGCATCTGTTTGTTGATTAACGGCTTGATTACGTGGTTTTTTTGAGAGGGGAGGAGGTTGTTCTAATCTAAAGTGTGTGTGTGTGTGTGTGTACACACTTGTCTATCTCTGTTTACGGAGGAGTCAGGTCTAGCTCTTCATACCCCCGCCGACTAGCCTTGTTGTACCTGTCGTCTTATTTAACTATTCTGATGTCCGAATTAATCAATTCGAACATCAATGTTCGAATTCCCATTAATCAACTTCTCTTGACTTTTCGCGCCCTGTGTTCCTTGCCGTGGCGGCCCTTTCCCCAACCTTCCGCAAACCTTGACAATGAGACCATCACCGGAGCGCTTCAAAACTCTCTCCAAAAATTACTGTGCATTACTGTGCATTTCGCTCCAGATATATATATATGCATTTCATATTTTCCCCCTAGAACCTCGTTTTTTGTTGTTCGTACATTGCTGTTGTCTTTCATTTGAATAATAATTACGGGACGGATGATTTATGTAGGGCAAGTCTCCTAAATGGATATTTTTTTGTTTTCAAGTGGGAAAAGGTTAATAACCGGAATGACGAGGGAAGCCTCGCTATTGGTCAGTTGCTGCAGCGTTACTATGGTAACGGGGAAGCGCGTCGGGCGTCGCCCCGCCCACTCCATCACCATAAACAATCTCATCTTTACAATCTCGACTATTTTTTTTCCAAATTTCTTATTACCAACTTTAAATTTGAGCGAGTTTCTGAATTGCAAGAATCAGCGGACGTCTTTTGTATTGATTCTTTGTATGAGAGAAAACGGAGAGAAGAAACTAAGCGAGGCACGGTAGAGATAATTTAGTGAAAGCTGTATTACCTTCCGAACTCCCGCCACCACTGTAATGGAATGTCTCTCTCTTTTTTCTTTTTTTTTTTTACCCCTGCGAGTAATTTCTCTGGTTAATGGCACCGGCTGACATTATGACAGGTGCGGGTTTGGCTGAAGCTTCGTTGTCTTCTGCTCGTATTTTCATGTTTATTTAAATTTAATAAATTGTGTGTACTCGCTTGTCTGTCTGTGAAGGAGTTCTGAACACCTCTTGACCGCGTGTGCGCATACATGTGCGCGTTAATGGGGGGGGGGGGTCACATTTAGCTCATTTTATTTTTCTACTATTAGGCAAAAAGAATTATGCGTGCACCCCTCCAAGCCGCAGCGTGCACCCCCACAGACCGCAGGGTGCACCCCCACAGGCCGCAGGGTGCACCATACATTATCAGTAATACGCCACAGCTGGCCATAATTTCCCTACCTATATATTATCACCAAAAACAGCGAGGCAGTAATTCCCCGCCACTCCGCCCTGCCCTATCATCCCAAATTATTTAATAATTCGCATGAATGAAAATTACCGCCCAAACTGACGGCAAAAAAAATGGTAATTTGGGTTCGTTGTGGAGGGGAAACGAACCTAAAAAAAAGGGGTATGTGGATCAGTGATACATAGCCGGAAGTAGTTATGTAATGTAATATTTGTCGTAGTCGTAAACTACCATCCATTACCACCGATACGTTTTTTACTTTAATATCCGAATTATCTTAAAATATACAAAAGATATTCAGATTAGGAGATTTAGGAGACATTTCGAACTTTCGGTATTTTATCTTAACCTTAATGGTGGTCTCTTGTATAAATGGTAGTCGCTTAGTTGTAAACGCTTTCAGAGGATACATATTTAGATATATAATTTTTGGAATTGATTATAAATTTAAATTATATCTAGAGTTGACCAGACTACACACTAGAAGGTGAAGGGACGACGACGTTTCGGTCCGTCCTGGACCATTTTCAAGTAGATTGATCTTGAGAATGGTCCAGGAGGGACCGAAACGTCGGCGTCCCTTCACCTTCTAGTGTGTGGTCTGGTCAACTTACTTTAGCCACGTTATTGTGACTCATTGCCTGCAAATCGTATCTATATCATATTTTGTTAAAAAAGTTAATGTATTTCCTTATAACCTGCTAATGAGGAGCTCTGCAAGATATTGGAAGTACCACGCTCGTTCAAGGGAGTTTGTGGCGCTATTCAAGAAAGTTGGTACTTTCTCCCTGTATCACTGTGGCGGTGAAACTCAACAATGGTGTTGGGCTAAAAGTTGGGCATTGTCTCGCTTCGTTACTGTGAGGCTTCGACACACGCCACGAGGCCCTCACTCGTAGTGTATCGTGCAAATACAGTAAGATTCAACAGCTGTGCATGCAGATACAGTAAGATCTGAAAATCATGCTGTCTGAAGACCTAACATAAAGATAACGCTTTGAAAGAAGTTGTGGAAGCCACCTCCATATACAACTTTGACGTCAAATTCGACGAAAATTTCTATGAAAATGGTTTAGTTATAGATCAACAGGTACAACAAGGCTGGTAGGCAGAGGCATAAACAGCCAGCCCTTATTTCCTGGTGATTACTGCTAGGCCAGAACCATGTTGCATGCCCGGGTCGTCCCCCGAAAAGAATGTTGAACACAGGTGACTTTGTCAACCGAGGGTCTCGTCCTTTTGGGACCATTCGTCACCCGAGTTGATCATTGGGTAGGAGCGGATGACGCCTGATTCGTACACCCCGCCCCCCCCCCTTCCTAAGGCGTAAAAGTGACCCCAGAGGTTACGAAATTTGGTTCACATTGCAACCAAAATAGGGTGTGTTTTGTACCTCTTCCCCCCCCCCCCCACAATACATTCAGAACAATTACATTCGACTTGAGAATGGTCCAGGACGGGCCGAAACGTCGTCGTCCCTTCACCTTCTAGTGTGTGGTCTGGTCAACAATCAATTACATTACACTCGAAGGGGGGTAGATCCCCCCTTGAATCTGATGTCCCTGTTACCTAGCAGTAACTATTATATAAATATTGTATATATCTATTATATAAATTTTGAGGACATCCGTCGTAGCCTAAGGAAAAAAAATCTGGCAAATTTCAATCCTATTTGGACGTTGGACGCTTTGTCGTGTAGTTGGACTCTGTTCCAAGTAGTGTTGGACTTGGAATAGAGTCCCTTATACTCGGTTGTGTGTTGTTTAACCCACTGTAAACCAGTAGGGTCTAAGACCTGTGCCGACGTGAGCCTTATGACGTCACGCGCATGCGCACCATATACACGAAAGAAAATGGTATAATTTTAGTTAGATCGAAACTGATTTGTCAAGCTTTATATGGCCTAGGTAGCAAGCAGTGCTAGGGAGGGTAAGGGAGGGGTGGGGTAGATAGGGTAGATATTAAGGGTCGGCAGGTCACTAGAACCCCACCCCCCTACCTATCATGTAGGTGGTGGGGTGGGGGGGGGGTCACACTTCTCCACTTGGTGACCCGGAAACAGCTAGCCAGCTGCCCCATTATTTCCCGGTTGCAATCGGGTCCAGTGGTGACATATGCCCTTCAGGCGTTCACTCGCTGAGAGACGTTTGCTCACTCAGGTCTACAGCAAGACGTGCGCATGCATGTATAATACACATGAACACACTCCCGCGCACTCAAACGCACGCACACTTAATACACATGAACACACACACACACACACACACACACACACACACACACACACACACACGCACACGCACACACGCACGCGCGCGCACTCAAATACTACATATGAACACACGCACGCGCACTCAAACGCCCGCCAGACTCATGTGAAAAGTCATGCTGGTAAACCACAAAACAATGAACTTATCAGCGTCCACTGACACCAAGGTGAGCAAATTTTGCCCAATTTCCCTCCCCAAGCGGCCCGCGCTAATATTGGAATGTCAGTGTGGGGGCTGCACCTGGCTCCCTGCGCGTGCGTGCGTGTGGGGGGGGGGGGGGGGTGTGGATGGTGGTGTGTGTGGGGGGGGGGGGTGGATGGTGGTGTGTGGGGAAACAATGTCTCTCCTGTCTTCCAGCGACGCAAAGTTCAATTCTTGTAGCCTATTGTCGTAATTCATACCTCGTAGTTCTGGGACTAGGCTGATGGCGTACCTCTGAACTTTCTCTTAACCTCTTGTGCTGGACTAGATCCGGACGCCATGCTGTATAACCCCAGGATTGGTCTGACATACGTGGTATATGAGGTTCCGAATGATTCCTACTCAATTTACTAAAACTATTCCTAAGTTAAACTATTTAATTACCTCAATACAAGCCTAATGTGTGTGTATCCACAGGCTGCCTGTCCCCCCTGACAAAATGAATTAGTATACCTTACAAAGGCAATATCACGGTGCTTGAATTTATCCTAATAGGTCACGTTTTGGACGTATTAGTGAAGGAATTATATTTGGAAAGAATGGTGTCAGTGGCGGAGAATTTGTGCTGTGACTATAGCTGCTTAGGTGGCGACGGGGCTGGCGCCGGAGACTACACCGAATGGTACCGTAAGGCGGGTGGTGTTGCGGTCAAGTGCAGCGTGAGTCCGTCAGCCTTGTGGTACACACTTGAGCGCGAGTCCATCCGCCTTGTGGTACACACTTGAGCGCGAGTCCGTCCGCCTTGTGGTACACACTTGAGCGCGAGTCCGTCCGTCAAGTGCCTCCCTGATTTTGATGCTTCTATATTGCTGAGGTTGATGATGGCATAATTACCCTCTTGTGCACTTTTGTAAATGCACTTCACGATTATTGAATGCTGTGTTTATTCTGTAGACGGGCGAGGATTTGTGTACTTGCTAAAAAAATGTATAAAGTCTGTATTTTTTGTCAAGGTAATTTATTTGTATGGTCATATAAACTGTATTTATGGAATATTGTAATAATATTGGAGTCCGGAGTTAGTGTTGGGATCCTCTGTGCTCTGACGCCTAATCAACCCGTGTTAAGACATTGTTTGATTTGCTTGTATATTTTCCATTGTGCTGGTTGCTGCGTTTGTATTCCTGTATGCCTTGTTTGATTACGTTTATTTGTTTTGCAGGCTCTCGGGTCGTGCCTACGGGAGTGGCCCAAGCCCAGGCTCGACCACCTGCCCTCGGCCACCTGGGCCAGCGTCAAGGCTGGTGTTGACAAGATCCCATGGCCCGCATGGGGAGAAGTAAAGGTAAGACACAGATGTGTTCAAGTAAAGGTAATTATTGGGGGGCGTCCCCTGGCCCACATTGGGGGGGGGGACGTCATGGGTTGCTGTGGGAAAAAATGAAGCCTCAAAAATTATATCAGATAAAGTCTGGGGGCCAGATTCACGAAAGCACTTATGCAAGCACTTACGAACGTGTACATCTTTCCTCAGTCTTTGACGGCTTTGGTTACATTTATTAAACAGTTTACAAGCATGAAAACTTTCCATTCAACTGTTGTTATTGTTATAAACAGCCTCCTGGTGCTTCGGAGCTCATTAACTGTTTAATAATTGGAAACAAAGTCGCCAAAGGTTGAGAAAAGATGTACAGGTTCGTAAGTGCTTGCGTAAGTGCTTTCGTGAATCTGGCCCTGGAGCTATAATGTTTTGCTTGATATAATAACTAGTTCGCATAACGGCGAACCCCCCTGGGAAATAATTTCTTGACCGGAGGCTTGCATAGGCTACCCACCAAAGCCTTCCAATTGTGGACTGTTCCCACGGCCAAGGAACTAGGCTTAGCATTAAAACTTGGTTCGGTGCTAAATGGTTAAAATATACTACCGCTCATAGGGTGAGTATGAGAGTTCAATATAAAAAAGCCACCGATGGTGACAACAATAAAATACATTGAATCCGTTCACGAGTTTATAATTATAAGAGTCCAAACACGCGATATGCAGTGATCTATTTTTTCAACTCCCTGACGCCGGAGTAACAACAGCCTTGTGAATCAATCTAACTCGATACATCTTTTTCAGGAGAGCCTCAAACCGGACTGGGGTTCGATTAAGAATTCTGCCAAAATCCCCGCCTGGTCGGACTTGCCCAAGCCTAGTCTGGAGAATATAAAGAGGCCTTCCGTACATGGGTTCAGGTGAGTAATTGTGACCTGTACGTGGTATACCGTGGGTAATGGTGTGTTAATGTACGTGATTTAGACGGGTAATTGTGTTGTGTACGTGGAAGTAGATGTTTTTGTACTTGGGTTCAGCCCAGTGGATGGAGTAAGTTATTTAGGGATTCTGGATTAAGACCGAGCCCGTTTCTACTACCGGGACTCATCTTGAATTGTTTGAGATCATCAGTGCAGCGAGAACGTCTCGGTGGTCTCACAGGTATGTCCACTGAGTGTGAAATTTAAAGTTAAACCTTAAACAAAATCTTTCGAGACTTTGCAGAGAAGAAAGATTACTTTATTGATAATAAAACAATTCTTAGTCATATTTGTAACTATAATTTAAATGAACTATGCTGTTTGCTTATCAGTTTTGTTGTGAACAAAATCTGTAATTAATACAGTATTTTAATAAATCATTTCACTGAAACAGTTCTCGGCTGTGAAGCCTCTGTCCGGTTAATGAAGGACTTCGTCTCCCATTCGGTACTTTGTGTAGCGTACTTTATCTGTTGTTTCCTCCACCTAGTTTCATTATCTTGCATTTAATTTGGTTAAACTTTAGTAGCCATGGCCATCTTGTAGCCTCTTTGCTATCTTATTTTACCTCCTCATAATTTTTGCATCAGCCAACATTGATAGGAAAGAGTTTATTCCCTCTGGGAGATCGTTTACATATCGGAAACAGGATAGGTCCAAGGACTGAACCTTGTGGGACTCCACTAGTGACAAGTGTGAGTGTGTAATCTCCTAGTTGTGCTTGCGGGGGTTGAGATCTGGCTCTTTGGCCCGCCTCTCAGCTGTCAATCAGCTAGTGTAGAGAGTCTGGAGCCTATTGCGGTGGTTTGTGTTTGGGGAAAGCGTTTGATTGTCTGGACAAGGTTGAGGCAGGGCACCGGATGATGTACGATAAGCCACATCACACCCAAGTCATACATTTCTCTCGGCTCCTGGCTCCAGTTACCCCAGGGGAAGGATTACCATCTCGACGAAGCGCGAAGACGATAACCTCGATAACCAACTCATGATTCATCCCGGGTCATAACTGGCTCATCCTCAGATGATCCATCATCCATTTCCATCACTGTTGCTGAATTCTATACTTGATTTATGTATACTTTCACATCAGTTTAATGTATCTACGAACTCCATGTATATCCTAATGTATCAAAATAATTTGAATGAATCTAAGACGTTATCATCTTTGCAGGTCGAGCCTGAGTGACCTCCGCGATAACTTACAAGACAGAGTGACCTCATTTGGGGAGCGGGTGACCTCCTCGGTGGATTGGCCAGAGGTCAACAACAGCGGTGACCGGCGGGGTCAGAGGTCACGGTCAGAGTCGACTTTACGGTCCAGGAGTCGAGTTATGAAGAGAGGAAAGATGAGGAGAGCGGAATGGTATTCGTCTTGTTTCTGTTTTGTAAGTATATGGTATACCGTGGTGCGCTGAGCATTGTTCGTAGTGTGCTGAGCATTGTTCGTGGTGTGCTGAGCATTGTTTGTGGTGTTCTGAGCATTGTTCGTGGTGTTCTGAGCATTGTTCGTGGTGTGCTGAGCATTGTTCGTGGTGTACTGAGCACTGTTCGTGGTGTACTGAGCACTGTTCATGATATCGTACTGAGCACTGTTCGTGGTGTGCTGAGCATTGTTCGTGGTGTACTGAGCACTGTTCATGATATCGTACTGAGCACTGTTCGTGGTGTGCTGGGCGTTGTTCGTGGTGTGCTGGGCGTTGTTTGTGGTGTGCTGAGCATGTTCGTGGTGTGCTGAGCATGTTCGTGGTGCATTGAGCATTGTTCATGGTGTACTTAGCATGTTCATGGTGTGCTGAGCATTGTTCGTGGTGTGCTGAGCATTGTTCGTGGTGTGCTGAGCATTGTTCGTGGTGTGCTGAGCATTGTTCGTGGTGTGTTGAGCATTGTTCGTGGTGTGCTGAGCATGTTCGTGGTGTGCTGAGCATGTTCGTGGTGCATTGAGCATTGTTCATGGTGTATTGAGCATTGTTCATGGTGTACTTAGCATGTTCATGGTGTATTGAGCATTGTTCATGGAGTATTGAGCATTGTTCGTGGTGTGCTGAGCATTGTTCGTGGTGTGCTGAGCATTGTTCGTGGTGTGCTGAGCATTGTTCGTGGTGTGCTGAGCATTGTTCGTGGTGTGCTGAGCATTGTTCGTGGTGTGCTGAGCATTGTTCGTGGTGTGCTGAGCATTGTTCGTGGTGTGCTGAGCATTGTTCGTGGTGTGCTGAGCATTGTTCGTGGTGTGCTGAGCATTGTTCGTGGTGTGCTGAGCATTGTTCGTGGTGTGCTGAGCATTGTTCGTGGTGTGCTGAGCATTGTTCGTGGTGTGCTGAGCATTGTTCGTGGTGTACTGAGCACTGTTCATGATATCGTACTGAGCACTGTTCGTGGTGTGCTGAGCATTGTTCGTGGTGTACTGAGCACTGTTCATGATATCGTACTGAGCACTGTTCATATCGTACTGTGCGTTGTTCGTGGTGTGCTGAGCGTTGTTTGTGGTGTGCTGAGCGTTGTTTGTGGTGTGCTGAGCGTTGTTTGTGGTGTGCTGAGCGTTGTTTGTGGTGTGCTGAGCGTTGTTCGTGGTGTACTGAGCATTGGTCAAGGTGTATTGAGCATTGTTCATTGTGGTGTAATGAGCAGTGTTCATTGTGGTGTAATGAGCAGTGTTCATGGTGTATTGAGCATTGTTCATGATAGTGTGCTGAGCACTGTGGTGTGGTGGTGTGCTGAGCACTGTGGTGTGGTGGTGTGCTGAGCACTGTGGTGTGGTGGTGTGCTGAGCACTGTGGTGTGGTGGTGTGCTGAGCACTCAGTGATCTGCACTGCACCTCAAATCAAGTGTTTATTCAGGTAAAAGTACATGCATACGAGTTCCAAACATAATGTTGGATTTATAGATAGAGCTAGTAAGTACTTTGTATCTTGCACTATGCAGAGTGGTGTATCCGTGGTGGTGGTGGTGCTGTACAGGATGTGCTTGCACGAGCGTGTGCACCTGCCTGCCTACCACTCCTTAGAGTATGTGTGCTCTCAGAGACCCGTCATCCCACTGGTCACTACTGGTTTCCCTTGATCTTTGAGTTGAAAGGGAGAGTTCTCCAACACCTGTTCTTTGACAGTAAAAGTCGTACAGCTTGTTTTAACTCGCCAGTAATCTTGCCTTATCTTCTTATATATGTCTGTATATATATATATATATATATGTATGTATGTATGTATATATTATTTATATATAGGCAAGGCAAATTGAAATATTCTTAAAATGTGAGAGCGTGTAGGAGTTTAGCTCTGCATCATTAATCATTATCAGAGATATCTAGAATGGAATTTTAAACCATGGAAATTTTTAAGAAATACTTAGTATTGCCTGTCCTGTTGTAAGTTGTTCTTTGTCATTATAGCTCTCCTTATTATCTTCGCACGTTTTCCCATCTGTACCAGGTTTTCCCCTGTGTTTTCCCCTGATTCGTGTCTTCTTTGTTAATGACATATTCTTTCCTGGAGCCCTTTCCCATTAATTGAAGCAACAGCCTCGGTGACCTCAATGTTGCCTTGCTTGCTTCGTTGATTGTTTCAGTGACAATAATCAGCATGACTTGGAAACTGTAACTTCTTGTACAGATTCATGTATATGTTCCTGTACGCTGTGTAACTGTGGTAACAGTGCTTACCCGATATCCTAACATGCCCCTCTTGTCCTGTCCCGGCCTACTTCTGGAAGTGGGAATCCCACCTTGCCGCTGTTTCATTAGTGCCAAGCTTATAGGTGACTTTGCTGTCTGGTTCCGTTTCCAAAGGATGCTAATGCTGCAGAATTTTGTTGAAATTGAAATTGAAATAAGTTTATTGAGGTAAAATACACACAAAGGGATGAGGTAGCTCAAGCTATTCTCACCCCATTCAGTACAACGTGTTTATATATACATAGACACACATCACAAATAAACAGAATTTTGTTAATTGTGTGCAGTTAAACAGGTATTGAAATGAGTTCTATTGACAATTATCCTTTCAATTACTTTTGATATGTGTATTATAATTATCATTAGAAGCAAGAGGTAATCAAATATTTTGGAATGTTAAACCTTTTCCTAAATGTATTGGAAAATATTACATTATTTTCGGCACATAAGTGAGGCGGTATATGGATGCTGCTTTCTAAGTAATGATTGCTTACTTTCCTACATAAGCACTAGTGTGTGAGATCTGACTGTTCCATTGCTTTTTCAGAAGGGTTCGGAGCCTCCACAAATTGAACATGTGGTGTCGGAACAGCCACAGATGGTGCAGATGGCGCCGCCGCCAAACATGACAGACAATTTGGCACCAGAGGAACTACAGACCAAAGTCACAGAATTATTGGTATAAAGAGTAAATTTTTGTTTTTCTTAGACTTGTATTAATTTGTTTATGCAAACAAATTGAACTAGAAACAATAAATATGCCAAATTAAAAGACCTTAGTCATATGTGAGTACAGTATCTTAAAAACCGTCTTAAATGTGGAAATGAAATCTCGAGCTTCGTCACAAAAGGTAAAAGAATAAACTGAGTAAAACGGTAACTAAAATATGTTTCCCTGCTCTAGGTGAAGAATGCAAATTTGATTATCTAGATATGGCATCTTGTCAGTGCAACAACTGCATGTGAGAACTCTTCTTGCAACATTTATCATTACAAAGCTCTTTTATAAACATGTCACGTGATCGTAAAGCTAAATAATAATTTTGTCAGGGACAGGAAGCCTGTCCCTGACAAATATATATACATAAATTGAGGTTCCCCCAAGGTCAGATTACTGACCTTCTCCAGGAGGCAATCTCGCAACAGTTGCCTAACTCTCATTTACTTGAATTAATGAAAGTATTGACAGTCCACTAGAACTAACATGCACATGACCATATGGCAGACTTTGAATTGTTATTACAACTTTCTGTATTTAAAGTTGTCCCCTCTTGGTTGACCTACTTCAGGGAGTGTGAATCCCATCGTGCTGCTGTTTCATGTGCTGTTTAAGTCCCTTGAGTACCTATTTACTATGTGAACAGAGGCCTTAGACGAAAGAAAATGTGCCCAACTATTTCTTTCTCGCCCAGGAATCAAACCTGGGATCCTCCAATTGTGAGTGGAGAAAGTCGACTGTACTACGAGACCCTATGTGGTGGTGCGAGGACAGTGAGCAAGTAGAGCAAGGTAGCAAGCACAACGACAATGTCTAAAGAACATGATGACCTAACTATGAACAAAGTATGGAGGCAGTGGGATGGGATTGAACCCTCATCCCTGGGCATGACATCCACAATAACGCTTCAGTTTCAGGAATAGGTAGAATTAAAACCAACGTGGTCAGCAGCTATTGTAACTGGCAGCCTGTTACTGTAAAGCTGGTCCCAGAAGCTGAGGTTTACCTTGCAACCACACCTAAATGGAGTACTATACTATACTATGCTTAGTATACATATGTACACTTACGCCATGAGCATAGCTCTTGTCCTGTAACTACACTTCTATAATTACTAAAACCACATTAAATTTAATTACTACCAAACTGTGATGGTTTTCATGCCATGCCATGCTTCACAATCACCTTCCACATTACAGCTCCAAAACTGGTTTTTTTTTTTACCATCCAATATATTTAGTTTCTATTTTTTAAATACAGTACATATACTGTACCATATTATGACTGTTTCTACAAATTTTCAAAATGTTTATACGTTTAAGGTAGTTATTCATTTGTATAAATCTCTGGTGTGCCCCAACTTGAATTATTGTATCCAGGCATGGAGACCTCATCTTCAGAAAGACATTGCTTCTTTGGAGAAAGTTCTATGCTGTACAATAAAAATCTCTCCAGAACCAAGTTGACTCACATACCAGGAATGGTTGAAGGCCTCAAAGCTAACACTGCAAACCAGATATGACAGGGCTGATCTCATTAAAACTTTCAAAATAATGAAGAGTTGAAAGCATGTTCATCCAGACTACTACCTCAAAAGGTCGGATGTAACACAACTGAGGAGCAACAGTTTCAGGCTCAACAAGATACAATGTAGGATTAAACAGGATGTTTTTTCACCCAAAGGGTTATAAACCCATTGAACTGCCTACCCGCTGAAGCCACGAATGCCAAAAGAACTTTAAAATCCAGATTTAAAAAAAATCATTAGGATAAATGGTAAAGGGGGGTGTAACTTTTGACAAACTTCCTGCCCTCGTCGAGGCCACTAGAATGTTAGTGGCCCTCGGGTAAATTCAGGTAAATACTGTATACATACAGTATTTACTTATATCAAGGCACTCCTATTCCTCAACCCCCCTCCCTTTCCCTGCCCCAACATAAAACTACTGACCTTTCCTAGGATGCAACCCCACAACAGTTACCTATCTCCCAGGTACCTATTTACTGCTAGGTGAACAGGCGCATTAGATGAATGGAAACGTGTCCAAACATTTGTCCCTCCTGGGAATTGTAATTGGTATCCCCGATTGCAAATCGAGAATGAAGCCAACTGCACTACAAGACATTATAAAGTGAATTACTAAGATGCACATTTCTGACTATAGACTATACATTATGGAGCTGTATTAACGTAAAATAAATGTTACAGATGAAGATTAATAATTATACATTTTATAACTTGAAGTGTTGTATTACACAATGTCGATAATAGCAATGCAGATACTGTACCTGTATTTCTTAAAGCTTTGGTTCAGTGTGTAGTGAACATAATATAAATTCCTCTCTCGTCAGGATGAACTGGATTTGACGGCCATACAGAAAAATGGCATTCTCAATTTTCCTCCCGAGAAGCAGCTCCAGCTTCTTTATGACTACCACACTCTTCAGTCTTCCAATAAGGTAACTAAGTTATTCTCCTGTTTATCATAACACATTGACTCGATAAGTGAAGGGTTCTATATCTTTGCTTTTCTCTGACCTCGAGAAGCAATTCATATTTGAAGAATAACTTACTGTATTGTGCTTCCAGCAAGTAATGCATAAAATGTGTATGCTCTAGGAAATATAATTAAACTTGTCACCCGTAACTTTCAATGATATAAAGCCCAGTCTGCTCATGTGTTGGATCAGTGTGCAGAAAGTTACTGGGCAAATAAAGTATCGTGAGGTGTTTATACATGTACCTCAACAAGTAACACAAGATCTTTTAATACAATGTTTATTATAATTAAAATGTGTGTTTGCTGGACATTAAATACTGTACTGTAAATGTACAATACACACTATATATATATATATACTTATTTATATGGTACCTACTAAGTAATTACTGTAATCTGATACTATGTATTTTTAATAAAATAATAATAATAATAATAATTAATAATAGTAATAATACTGTAATACAAATTAAATTATATTATCTAAATTTTCACCTGACTGCACTGATGCTTTAGCTTATACAGTACTTACTAGATAATTAGTTTTCTCATGCTCCCAAATTAAACTTCCCGACTGGACATGATTACCAAGCTGGTTCCATTCATTAAAGATTCCATTTTAAGCTAAAATTATAAAGTACCAATAGAGCGCTAGTCTAACATTGTTAGTCACAGACCATGCACTGTTCAATTCTCCCTAACTGTATTATTTCCAAATTAATGGGGGTGTTTTACTTCCAGAAAATTGAGCGGCCGGAAGCCTATATTGCCAAACTGGAAGAGTACTCGGAGCTGACAGTACCTACGGACCAGTACCAACAACACTCATGGCTCAAGTACACAGAGGGGCTGAAGACGGCGCTTGCCACGCAAAGCAACACTTTCGTTAATGAATTTATGGAGGCTGGTGGACTGGCATCACTCCTGCAGTTCCTCACCAAGATGGATGACACAACATTCCAGTCTAGTATCCACATGCACGTGATCGCCTGTGTTAAAGCTTTAATGAATAACTCGGTAAGCGACGCCAAATTAATATACTGTACTGCAGTAGTTTTGTAAATGATTTGACAATCGCATTGAAGCCTTTGATCAACTTCTGAGTTTTTACTGTCACTTCTTATTTTCATTGCGTGAGAAAGCAAAAGCCCAGCTTGAAAGACGAGAGTAATGTAGGGAAAGAAGATTAGAAAGACTAAAGACACGTCTAGTAATCACATCTTCCACAAACCAGCATATAATCAGACATGTCATACTACAACAAGAAAATTCGCTGCACCATTCCACTGCTTCATAAAACTGGTGCTAAGTGTGTACAATTTCCCAGTCAACAAATTTCAAACAATTACTTAAAAGAAATTAATTCCACCTAGACATCTTCCTCTCCACAACCTGTGCACAGTTCACAATACCCACGTCCTCGTATGCTCGCTCATCTTTTATATCCTTGTGCAATTAGATGCCATACTACCCATAAACCTTGTGCTGATTTGTCACCTATTGCCTTCTAAAAGTATAACTTCATCAGTATCATTTATCACTGTCCTATTTGAACATTGGTAGGCCTATCTGTCATCATGCTAAATATATACAGTATTAGTTTTAAGTACTGTACCTTAAAATTAAAAATACTTTTATTAAATTCAAAATTCCTGCAGTCTCAATGTTTACCTCTCAGAAAGATCTTTCTGATGTGCTATGCATAATAATGGTTTTATGAGTCTTGATTTAACATTACAGTAGCCATATTGTTTTGATTAAATTACACCATTGCTATCCACTGTACTGATTAGAATTTATATACACACACTTAAAAAAAAATTTATTTATATGAATGTACTTGGTGTGATGCTAATTTTTTAACTTTGGAGATTTATATTCTTGGAAAGCTAGTAATGGGCATTGTATTGTTTGAAAGAAATACAAAGATACATATAATTGGCTCCCTGTAGTATCCCACCTATGTTAATGGACTTCTTATGCAGTATGTAGTTTTATATCACATTTGGCCAGTCTCAACTTAATACTTCATGACATTGTGCTGCAAACATACTAATATTGTATCTCGACTAATTACTCCATCACCACTACAACTTTTCATTGTCATCTTTTTTTTCCTTATTAGTAATATTATATACTGTGTGAAGTGATTACCTACATGTGAACATCAGTACCTCTCAAATTGTTGTAAATAACTGGATGAACCTTCTTCATAAGTAAAGAATATTACATAAATAATTTCCCCAAAGTTGCTAGCCATGTACTGTACTATACTGGTTTTACTTGAATAAATTATTGTATTAGTGTTATTATCCGTGTTTTAGAATGGACGAAAACACATCCTGGCTCATCCCACATGTATGAACGTAATCTCACAAAGCTTGAGTACAGAGAACCTCAAGACGAAAACTATGGTTTTGGAAATACTCGGAGGTGTCTGTCTACTACCTGGCGGTCACAAGAAGGTTTTAGAGGCCATGCTTCACTTTCAAAAATTTTCAGGGGAGAGAACGAGATTTCAAGTGAGTAAAAGATTACAGAATTCATTTGCCCCTCTAGTTAGTATGATGTGAAAAAACTGAGAATACCGTTTCTAAAGGACAGTAAATGTCCTATTTTCTCATGCTGCTATACAAGTGTTGTTTACTACAGACCCTCATCGTAGACCTCGACCGATCATGGGGAAACTATGCAGATGAGTTATCTCTAAAGATCGCAGTCATGTCCTTCATTAATGCCATAATACGCTGGGGTCCTGGCGAAGATTCTCTGGAGTTTCGGCTTCATCTTCGCTACGAATTCCTCATGTTGGGTGTTCAGCCTGTGATTGAAAAGCTGCGAGGTCTTCAAAATGAAATCCTGGATAAGTGAGTACTGATTTTTATTTTCATAGATGGATTTAGAAGCTTTTCAAATGTGCCAGAATGATTCATTTTTCAAAATGCAAATTTAAATTTCCATACAGAAAATGTAAGTTATGGGAATAAAATTATTCAATTTTTTTGCACAAAAATTCTATAAAATAAAGTGCACAAATCCCTGCTAAGAGTCTAAATCTATTCTGGTAATTTTTGTTTGTTTTGGAGGTTGGGAAGGAATCCTTGTGGGAAAAATACATTGGGAATATACAAATCTTTATTTGTAGATTATCCTGTGCCTAAAATAACTGGAGCATACCTGGAGGGGTTTTGGGAATTCTTCTACTCCCAGAGCCAGGCTCAATGATTGGCAAAAATGTAAATACTGTACTGTACAATGAATGGTAAAGGACTAACTAAACTGAAGATAATGCTGCACCCATATAATGCATGGGCACCTGGAGCCATCGAAGCAGCAGTACAGAGAAAGTATACAGGGAATATGCTATGCAGGAAAATTATGTAGCAATACAAATAAACTGGAAGCGAGGAAGGACTGCCTCAAGCAATGTGACCGACTTCTTGCCAACAAGACCCTGCTGCCCAAATGCTATCCAGCTCCTGCACTACATTTGGTACGTTCTATGTATGACATTCGTCCATACTCCAGTGAGCTCTTATGGACAGTGTTTATCCAGCTCCTGCTTTTGCACATACAGTATAATTATTGCTGTTCTGCCTGGACGAAGACACCCGGTTAGAATGACTGGCTACCGTAATTGATCATCCTTCTGCAGTGCTCGGCAGTCTTTCAGTGATCTTCCACATCGGTGCATAGAGGGACATTGAGTGCAGCAGATGCCCTACAGCTCTCCAACCACCATGTATAAATTTCTTGGGTAACATCATACTACTCATCAGGCAGGTGCAAGAGAACAAGCTGGATATATGTTGCTACTATATCCAGTTTATGGCTCAGACCTGCAACTACCCTATGTACCTGTCAGAAAATCACACCCCCGGGGCTTGTTAGTCGCCAACAACCCTGCCCCATTGCAGTGTGCTGCTGTTCATCTCCAACCATCTGCATGAGAGATTTCCTTTTAAATACCAGCATGGGAGCTAGCGTTCCTAGTACATGTTCCTTCCCTCCGACTGAATGTGTTCGTTCGTACAGATGCATTCAGTGGGCCTTAATCTTTATAAACATAGTGGCCAATCCTTGGGTGTAATATCCTTAAACTACACAATTCATAATGGATCCTACAGATGATACCATGTGTTCCTCCAGACACCCTCAGCACCAGTTGGTAAGTAAATAAATAAATAAATGTGCCACACACTTGCACTTGCACCACATCTGCATCTCAAGACCTCCCACTTTCATCCAATCTTGCCAACTGGTCCTGAGTAGTTGATTGAGGCCAGGGCAGAGTTAAACTACAAAAGGCTGGAATCATTCATCTAACATGCCATGAACCTTGCTACTCACGTGGTACCCAAGACAGCAAAAAAGAATAACACCCGTACTAGGACTACAGAGCTTTCAATGTCTGCCATCTAATGGACCATTACCCCTCCCACGCATCCAGACAACCTTTTGGGTATCTCAACAGCTTCCTGTGGAACCAGCAGACATCCCAAAGTCTGCCATTACCACATTTTTATTGTGTAGTGCTGCCCAAATGTTTCGGCACTTCATTACAATACATTTCTGGACCTTCCGTCTGCTACACCTATGTTGATGAAATCTGTGACCAGCCATTCCCCAAATGGACCATCGCATCTGCAACACCTGTGACTCTTGCTCATATTCAGTGTGCCAGAGCTGGACTTTCTGGAATTTAGGTGGAAACAGGAAAAACAAAGTGACATCACCGAGTAGTTTACTATCGTGAAGAACTCCTCCAACTGAGCAAGCCCGTGAGCTCATGCCTGTAGGGATGTCACCTCCCTGGGAGGCTGGCCCATGTTAACGTGTAGTACTCTCGGGTTCGATCTCGATTTCCACTGAGCCAGTAACCCTTTCCCCCTTCCCTGAACCACCAACCATCCGCTCCCCCCTCCTGAACCACCCCCCCCCCTTGAAGAATCGATCCCGAGGGCCCCTACCCTTGGCCCCCCCCCCTCCGCTGAACCAGTAACCCCCCCTCCCCTGAACCACTAACCCCCCTCCCCTGAACCACTAACCCCCCTCCCCTGAACCAGTAACCCCCCCTTTCCCTGAACCAGTAACCCCCCCCCTTCCCTGAACCAGTAACCCCCCCCCCTTCCCTGAACCAGTAACCCCCCCCCCTTCCCTGAACCAGTAACCCCCCCCTTCCCTGAACCACTAACCCCCCCTTCCCTGAACCACTAACCCCCCCTTCCCTGATCCACTAACCCCGCCCCCTTCCCTGAACCACTAACCCCCTCTTCCCCTGAACCACTAATCCCCCCCTTCCCCTGAACCACTAATCCCCCCCTTCCCCTGAACCACTATCCCCCCTCTCCTGAACCACTATCCCCCCCTCTCCTGAACCACTAACTCCCAACCCCCTTCCCCTGAACCACTACCCCCCCTTCCCCTGAACCACTACCCCCTCCTTCCCCTGAACCACTACCCCCCCCCCCTCCTTCCCCTGAACCACTAACCCTCCCCCCCCCTTGAACTACCATCCTCTACTCCCCCTCCACCCCCGGAAACGTAATCACTGTTGTGTGGGGCCCAGATAGACCGTAATTCCCTCTAATGTGAGCGTGTCTTCCTTTTCTTCCTCTCGCTGGGATCCAATTATTGGGTTTTGGATTTAGTTATAAGATGTTCTGCGTGCAGGAGGATTAAATGCATATATTTTTTGTGGGATTAAACTTGTGTTTGGAGGATTATTATTCGTATGGTTCATGGATTGAATTGATAGTTTTGTAGTGTTCGATTGTTCTTTATGGTTCTGGTCTGGTTGTAATCCCATTAGGCTTTTGTTTCAGGGTGTATCAGTCATAAGGGATTATATAGGTTGGTGTTGTGATGAAGATCCCTTGTGGTAATTATCTCGTTTATTTTGCCTTTTATCCGTGTTGATCCCTTGTCAGTGGCTTCAGACTGGCGGACAGTTTAATTGGTGATTTTTTTATGTTGAATTATGAGTGTACGTGCGTGCCTGCGCAGGTCTGCGGGGAGTAAACTCTAGCTCTAGGTCCCCCGCCTCGTAGCTAGTCTATCTAGTGTAGTTATGCCTTTCAACGAAGGCATACCTTACCTTGAGGTGCTTCCGGGGCTTAGCGTCCCCGCGGCCCGGTCGTCGACCAGGCCTCCTGGTTGCTGGACTGATCAACCAGGGTCTTGGACGCGGCTACTCGCAGCCTGACGTATGAGTCACAGCCTGGTTGATCAGGTATCCTTTGGAGGTGCTTATCCAGTTCTCTCTTGAATACTGTGAGGGGATTGCCAGTTATGCCCCTTATGTGTAGTGGAAGAGTGTTGAACAGTCTCGGGCCTCTGATGTTGATAGTTCTCTCTGAGTACCTGAGACCACCATGAATAACCTCTGCTTTTCAACTGGGGTATTCTGCACATCCTGCCATGTCTTCTGGTCTCATGTGATGTTATTTCTGTGTGCAGGTTTGGGACCAGCCCCTCTAATATTTTCCACGTGTAAATTATTATGTATCTCTCCCGCCTGCGCTCAAGGGAGTACAGATTTAGGCTCTTTAGTCGGTCCCAATAGTTTAGATGTTTTACTGAGTGGATTCTAGCAGTAAAGGATCTCTTTACTGGTGGTCACAATTTTCAGAATATTACAAATAAACATAACATTTTTGACAATTTGTTGGGTGGTTGTTTCATAATTCAGATTCCGAATTGAAGAAATTCTCTAACGTTCTTTAAAAAGTTCCGCGTTAAAGAAAAACTTGTAATATATTTATTATCCTTGAGCGTACAGTGGACGTGGATTGTTTGTGTTATATTAACTTTCAAGTTTCTTCAAGGCCCAGTGTCTGTCTGTGTCTGTGTCTGTCTGTGTCTGTCTGTGTCTGTGTCTGTCTGTGTCTGTGTCTGTCTGTGTCTGTGTCTGTCTGTGTCTGTGTCTGTGTCTGTGTCTGTCTGTGTCTGTGTCTGTCTGTGTCTGTCTGTGTCTGTGTCTGTCTGTGTCTGTGTCTGTCTGTGTCTGTGTCTGTCTGTGTCTGTGTCTGTCTGTGTCTGTGTCTGTCTGTGTCTGTGTCTGTCTGTGTCTGTGTCTGTCTGTGTCTGTGTCTGTCTGTCTGAGCGCCATTGACTTGAGTATTTTTGGCACAAGATTGGTTGGATGTCGAGACGATAAGGATTAGTTAGTGATTATTGTATGGAATGAGAAATGATTAGATGGGATAACCATGGTGTCGCATTGGTTAACAAGCCTAAAGCTGAATGTCGTGAGCTTTTGCTTTATCAAATTTAAACAGTTAATTATGCATAGATCCCATACGTGTGTTCTGGGGTGGCGGAAAGATTAGTATAACATGTACGGATTCCAGGAATTGTCGGGGCGTTGTTCATTTGACTATTCCAAATTATCTAAATAATTTATTATATCTAGTACGCGATGCTCCTGTGTTTTGAAGACTATCCCCGTAGATACAGATAGTACCGCGTAGAAATTCAAAAAACAAAAAATCTTTTATTATTCGTCAGAGGAACAAGGCCGTCTTTGTGTGCCCCCCATGATAACAACGCCCCATAACCACCATGAATACACAACAGATATGAGGCAGCGAACCATACATGTAATTACATACTCGTCAAAGCCCGCCATCAGAGAATCGCCAGAATTTTCCCGCGCAAACGCCACCCGCCCACCACCTTCGCTATAGTGACCAATATACTGTTTATATTAACACATTTATTTGTAATATATATAATTAATCGGTTTATTCAAAAGTAAATTCTAACTTAAAAGTTGGCTGGGTTTAGGATTAATTTAACATGGTTTGCGGTAGTTTTGATGATCGTTATATCCATCTGCGGCTTCGCGCCAAATTGTATATGATTG